CCTGGAGACAGGGAGTCGAGGATATGAGTGACCTGTGGTCCTTGGAAGGAGTGGGCTTGGGGGCACTGCCCCCTTTACTCTGAGATTCTGTCCCAAGAACCAGCTTCCCCTATCCTTGCCTCCCACCGTCCCGGTGGGAGATGGGAGCCTAGGACCAGGGACACATGTCTCCCGGGCAGCAGGGATGATGGAGAGAGAAGACACCACACTGAGAGACAGGAGGTGTAAGTCCGTCACCCAGTCTACCCTCTTGAGTGCTGTGCCCAGACCTGTCCGTGCCCCTCCCCCGGCCCATGTTCTTGAGGGTGGCCACGCCCCATGGGAGAAGAGAATGAATGACATGGTGGCCAGGAACTGAGGAACTGCCACTCGTCCTGCGACCAGACACACCTGTCACCCCAGGGGAGGGGTGGGGAGTCGGGAGCAAGGTGTCCAGCTGTGAGGGTACCCTACTCACACGGGTTCCTCAGCCCTCACTTCCTGGCCTCCAGGTCCGACACAAAAGGCAGGTAATGGGTGGGGTGGGAATAGAGACCTGGAGTCCAGCCTAGGCCATGCTGACATTTGACTGATGACCTTGAGGTACCCCTGATCTCTCTTTGATCTGATCAGAGAATGGGGGCCGCAGAACTTTGCAGACCACATCTGTAGGGGTATCCATGTTGCCCAAGGCCCTGGGGCACAAAGATACAGTTACCAAGATGAAGTCTGTCTGGTAGGTGGACAGCATGAACACGGAGATGTTCTGGTCAGCCAGTGGAGCGATAACCGACTTGGCAATTTTGGTCACGCCGATAGGCTGGGAGCTGGAGAAGCTGCCACCACCTGACACCACATTGAGGGCCAGCCAGGTAGCATCTGCCACGCTCAGGTGCTCCGAGGAGGGAAGCTCTGGAGGGGAAAACAGAAGGCAGGGCTGTGACTGACAGGCCTCAGGTCCCCAGGGCAGGACAGGCCACAGAGAAGGGACTGAGACTTGGGACTAGCTATGTGACCTTGGCCAGCCCCATCCTCTGGTCCTAAGCGCCCTCATCAGTCAGAGGAAGATAGGATTGGCCTCAAAGGCCCTATATGCTGGGAAGATAGAACCTGGAAGGCCCTTAGAGGACTTTGGATGTGCCAGGAGGCTCAGCAGGGTGAGAACCATGGGGACATGTGCTTTAACTGTGTTGGGCCTCAGTTTCCTCAGCCATGAAATAGTAAGTGCTTAACAGTCAGTAACAATTCTGTTATTTTTAGTCCTCACTACCCTTCTGGGTACCAGGTACTACCATCACCACCTCACACTGGTAGAACGGGTCCTGTGGCTTTCAAACTAGATTCCTAGGAACTTCCCAGGAGGCTAGGGGTGGAGAAGAGGCCAGGAGAAGAAAGGGTAGAGGCCTTAGATTTCCTCCTTGTTTAATCAGACCTGCACGTTAGGCTTCTCTGGAAGAACACATTGTTCTAGGAAGGCTTTCGAGGATGCCATATTCTGGTGGGCTGTGATTATCATCAAAGTCCCTCCTCAGAGCCCAGGGTTCCTGGGGGTTGGCACCAGCAGGGACAAGGGAGGGGAGGTTCAGAGCAGCAGTAATCACTAAGTCTCCCTGACTAGCTCATGAAGGCCTGGATCCCAATGTTCAGACCATCCTGTCCACCCTGTCCTGCAGAGAGTCCCCAGGGTAGCCTGTGCATGGGATGTGGGTATACAGGTGTTTCCACGAACACACAGCCACAGAGCCAAGCACAGGCTGCATACAGGACTCTGTATGCATCACAGGCACCTGCTCAAATCTACCTCACAGTGGGACTGTTATTCCCACTGTAGACACCACAAACCAGAGCTCTGGGAAGGCAGTGATTTGCCTGAGATCACTTAGGGAATAACAGTGCCAAGATTCAAGCCCAGGTCCGACAGCTTCATGCTGTGTCCTGGGCACCTAATGGGAAGAAGAGCCAGGTCTCCAGGGCTAAGAAGAAGAGGGGCACGGTGAGCTGACGGGACTGTGATTTGCCAAGATTCAAGCCCAGGTCCGACAGCTTCATGCTGTGTCCTGGGCACCTAATGGGAAGAAGAGCCAGGTCTCCAGGAAGGGCAGGGCTAAGAAGAAGAGGGGCATGGTGAGCTGAGGGGACTGTGATGATAATGCCCCAGGGAAGGCTGTACTGGCCTCAGGCAAGACGATACCTGAGGAGAAACTGAGTGAGACTCCACCAGGCTCCCACCTGCCCAGCTTCCATCACCACGGTAACCACAGCCATTGGTCCTGCTGGCTGAGAAGGGCCAGTCCTCGGCCAGGCTGGCTGGAGAGGCAGATGGCTTCCCAGAAAAGGGAAAAGGTTTGGAAGAAAGAGCAGGACAAAAGGTTTTAAATGGCCCTGGGTCTCAGGGGGCCGTGTCTAGCCTCTCTATGTGTTATCAGGGTGTCAGAAGAGATTTCACGACCCCAGGACCACCAGCACAAAAATGCTCTCCTGAATCGGAGTTCCAGCTCAGCTCTGAAATTTTAATAATCCCGCTCCTGGCTCTCAGCCCTGGATAGAAGCCCTTGAGGTTCTAAGTGGCAAGCCTGGAATGAGAGGGTGGTCAGCTCCAGACCAATGGTTACCCCCTGAGGCTTCCAGCAGGGTAAGCTTTGTCAGAGCGGCTGGAAAAAGCAGCTGGAGACCATGGCGTTCACTGCTTCCAGTCCCACAGACCCTAAACACTTCCCCAGCATTCCGGGGAAGAGGAAGGGCTGTCTAGGCCCCAACCTCACCCTAGGCCAAGTCTTGGGGTGCTCAAGGTGCTGCTTTGAGGCCATGGGGATGAGCCACCAGGAAGCAGCAAACTGGCCCTTCCCTATAGGAAAAGTGGACCGATTCCAAGAATGAAATGAATTATCTCTGTCACTGCTCATTGTCCAAGACCCTAAAAATTACCCTTGGAACCGAGGACGCTCCCTGATAGAGGAGGTAAGTGTCTCGCCACCCTCCGGCCACAAAGTCAGGCAACTCTGTTGCTGGGTGGAGCCTCCTACCTCCCAAAGAGTCCCTTGTTCGGGCCATAGGACCTGTGGTTCCCTGTGCTACGTGGCTGCACCCTCTGCACAGAGCCTGTGTTTCTCGGTTCTTCCTACCCTGCCTGCAACAGGGTCGAGAGTCCTGGGGTAGGGCAGGAGGGTTTAATCCTGGCTGTGTGACCTTGAGCAAAGTCACTGTCCCTTGGCTTTTCAGTTTTCAAATGTGGAATGATGAAATCAATATCTACTCCAGAAGACGCCTGGAGATTTCAATGAGATAATCCCCATCAAGTGCTTAGTGGAGTGCCTGGTGTCCATCTGAATGCTCATCAAATGCCAGAGTCTTTCTGTTATTATGCTGCTGGTGGCAGTTGGGTAAAATGTACCAAGAATTTAAAAAATGTGCACTTTCACTGTAAGGTACAGATGACCCTTGAACAACACAGGTTTGAACGGCGTGGGTCCACTTATACACCTTGTACACCCTGAGTGTGGCTTACTGAATTGAGAGGGAGGGAGGTGATCCTGTGTTTGGGATGAGGCCACGAGGGCCCCAGGGCAATGAGCAACTTGCCTAGAATCACGAGCAGTGAGTAGCAAGGCTGGATCTGAACCTAGGTCTTCCCGTCTCACCCCAGCGTGAATCCAGGAGATCACCTCTCAACATCCTCCTTCCACCTTTCAGCCAGTCATGGCCCAAGCAGCATGGCCTGTCCTAGAGTCACAGATCCCACTGATGCAGGTACAGGGACTGCGATGGGTGGGGGCTAGTGAAGAGGTCCTGATTAGCACTAGACCCTCTAACTGCAAACCTACGATGCTGCACACCACCGAGAGGTCAGGGAAGGGGCTCCTGTTCATATTACTTTGGGTCTCTGAGAACATCTAGTATTGCACATAGCTAAGTGTTCATTAAATATGTAAAGTATCAAATTACACACATGCACACACACCCCTTCTGTTTGCCACACAGACATACAGCATCCATTTGAGCTAAGAACCTCTGAAATTCCACATTAAACAGAGAGCTGTCTGGTTACTGTTACTGACAATCACCCCACCCTCTCAGGAAAGGCTCAGCATTTAACGTACACGTGAACCGCAGATAGCTGCTAGTTCCTAATGGTGAAAGCTTCATGCTGGCAATATCGCCAATGAACAATAAGCAAGGAACCTTGGCTGATATTAACAGTGGCCAATGGAGGACCTTGGGTGAGAAACAATGTTTGCAGAACTGGGAGAGGGGGGACATCCTTCACATGGTGTAGCCAGCACCCCTCTCTGTCCCACTGGGGCAGCTACAGACCAAACTCCCTTTCGGAAGAGGAGCCTCCTGAGAGGAACCCCCTCAGAGCTGAGGTGAGAGGGTGGAACTTGGCATCGTTGTCTCTCACCGCAGCCCCCAGCCCAAATCCTGCTCTCTGAGAGCCTCCCCGGGCTGCCCTGGCCACACGCTGGCCCACCCTTCTGAGCTGCTCCTGACCTTGGCCTATTGAGAACCACCACAGCACTTCTCAGAAGTTTCTGCTGGAACCACCCTGTGGGCATTTCCTGCTTTGAACGGGCCATCACGCACAGTGACTCTGGGTATCTTAATGTCAGTTTTCCCTCTTGTAAAATAGTCTTTACTTCTTACCCTCAGGCCACTGAAATAATCCCAGGCAGGAGATGCATCTCTTCAGCGGGGTTCAGGGGAGTCTTATTTTGTATACTTGCCCTCTGTAGCTTCACAATAGGACTGTGAGAGATACTTACTACTTTAAAGGTATACAGATTTTTCTTGGGCAGTAACAGTTATTCAAGCAGCCTGCTCTGCTGGCCTGGAAGGGGGCAGTCACAGAACCCTGAGGCTCTTGGAGTAAGAGGTGGCGTCTCTCATTCCAAGCACATTTCCAGGGCCTAGCAAGGTGCTGCCACATCCCAGGTGCTCAGTCAACAGTGCCTCCTGAAACCCAAGGGGCTGGCTGAGACAACCAGCCACTCCACCACAGGACAGCTCCCTGGTTACTGACAAATCCTGCAACATGGCCTTCTAGGACCTGAAAAACCGGCTCACCAGGTCCCACTGCCTCCCTCTGTCCCTACTCATGGTGTTCTCTTATTTGCTGCCTTGAGAGGTAGAGTGAGTCTCATCTGGGGAGGATGTTTAGAGTGACTATCTATCTAGTCCCAGAGAATAGATACTCTGGGGCGTTCCTTCTATGTCTGAGGTACAATTCTCAGCAGTTCTGCGTAAAGGCATGTGTGTCCGTAAAAAATTGAAACTGTGTTTGTATGCCCATCCCATAATCTTCATGTGGCTGTGCTTCATGGTTAGGGCAGAAATTCTGTCTGTGGCTCCTGTGCTCGGAAAATATCTGAGTGAGTGACTAGGTGGGTGCCTTAGATGATGAGGCAGGGCCTCCCATGGGGCCTGCCCCGTCCCTGCTCTGGCCACGCAGTTGTCCCCTTGGAGACAGAGAAAGACACCGTCTGCTTGAGATGTGGGGGGGCCGGGCACCCCCTCACACTGGCTTGGTGCCTGGAGCATGTGAGGGTAGGGTGACAGAGCGCAGCTGAGGAGGTCACTTCCCAGGGGTTTCAACACGAATTGACAACCATAAACTTATGACCCCATAACGCCATTTCTCAGCCCCCATTTTAGGAATAAATGTTATACATTTAAAGAGTTTATAAATTTTTCACTGGAGAAAAATTAAAGCAACTTTAATTCTAACTGTAGGCACAAAGGAACAGGGCTGCTGTGACAGGCTATGAAATCACAGGAAATTTTAAGTTGTAATGTTAAGTGAAAACATTTCTATATATATGGTCATAAGTAAATTAAAAAGAGACAACCTGCACACAGAAAGAAGTGGGAAAGAAAAGGCTAAAAAGTTACTAGTATCTGTCTTTGAGGTAGGACTGGATTTTTTTCAAATGTTAAATTTGTTGCATCCTCTGCACATTTTGAACACTGTAACTCAGTGGTTCAGAATGGATACAACTTTGGGGGGAGTCAAGCTCTCTGCTGCTTTTGAACCTGGACATATGACTTCCCCTTTCTCTTCCCAGCTCCCTTGGATATTGTGCAAATTACACTATCTCTTTATAAGTTAAAGGGCATCAGTCAATACAAGTGAATGTTTGCTGTTACTTTAGAGCAGGAAAAACGCAATAAACTTTAATAATAAAACTAAAAGAATACAGTGAGGGGAGAAAGGGGAATGACTGTTAACAAGTAATGGGGTTTCTTTTTGGGGTGATGACAATACTCTGGAATCAGTGTGGTGATGGCTGCACAACCTTGTGGATATCAAAAAACCACTGAACTGTCATGTATTTTACAATGGTGAATTTTATGGTACATGAATTATATATCTCAATTGAAAAAATGGAAAAATGGTAAAGGAAAATCATGAGAGGATGGTAACTGGGGCTTGCTCCAATGGGAACAAGGACTAAAGACAATTTAAAGCAGCTTATTCACAGTAGATGCTCAATGAAACACGTCTTTTCCTTCCTGGCTGCTTTAGTTCTCAGCTGGGTAAGTGCTGTGTCTCACTGACCCTTTTAGTTCTGGGGCCTTCCCCAGGGTAGTTTCATAAGCAGAAGGGTGGAGGTGGGGGGTCGGCCAGGACACAGGAAGAGAAGGAAGACTCTCAGCCTACTTTCTAACTCACCAACATGTAGGGGCAGAAATAAGAAGGTGGGCAGCCAGTGCTGACCACAGGACACAGTTGAGCCAAGTCCCAGGTGAGAGAAGCACTTACCCAGGAACCCCTCCTCGTCAACAATGATGGTGTAATCTTCTGGCGTCTCAGTCAGACTGAAGAACTTGCACCTAGGTGAATGGACAGACAGACACACACAGAATATCACGTTAGTCCCACATTAGTCTCGACAGGACACCATGGCAGCCATCTACCCTGTAACCCAGAAGGAGATAACTCAGTTTACCGGAGCTCTGACCCCAGGCTGTGGCCGACCTCCAGTAAGCTGCTTATCTCTCCCTCCATACCCCTCCAGTTCTGACTTAGGTCTCAGAAAGGCCTAGAGATGGTGATCGTCTCCTCTGCACCCCCCAATCTTTGGGGACCCTTGAGCTGGCCAGCCTCTAGGGTCCCATACAGACCCATGGATCTTAGACCCCACTTTTTCTCAGGGAGGAAGTGGCTAAAGGATGGCTTTGGCAGGGATCATGCGAATGAACTGTCTTTTCCATGGGCCCCCTACATTCTGACTCCCAGGCCTCTGTCAGTGCCTACCGCACCCCCCCACCCCCCGCACCACAGTCCTGGTGCCTTTTCTCACCAACTGGAGAGCTCCCACTGTCACGTGAGGTCTAATTCACATGACCCAACTGACGCCCAGCCTTCAGGGCACTTTTTCTTCCTTTCATGAGAGAGGTGTGACCATCTGTGCAAGTTTTGGGACATGGGTCCCTGAACTGCCACATGTCTAATTTGGTAATACTGTTAGCCAGGGGCAATATAGTTTACCCCCACCCCCACCCCCAAACAAAAAAGACCATCAATTTAGTCAAGGCCAAGAACCGGCAATCACTATCCCTCTGTATCTCATCCCTGCTGGTCTCAACCCTGAGCACACAGGCTTTCCATCATAGAGTAAGAGGGGTTGCCATGCCTCAATGCCTGCCTGTCCCCCATCCAGCCAGACTGGCCCCCAGAATACCCTGGGAACCGCTACAGGGAGAAACGGTGTACATAAACACTGGCATGCAGCATACTGCCCACGGTCATTTTCCTGGCATCACTGCTCTCAAGCGCGAGGCCCCGCAATGGGCTACATACATGCCCAGTGTGTAAAACCCATTCATCGAATCAGCCGTAACAGAAAGAGGCCCAGTGGGTAACCCCAGCAAGGGCACGGATATCACCTCCACAAAGATTCCAATGGAAAAGGAGTCCTGAAGGAGACGCAGTGCTGTGGAGACACGGGGGCTGGAATGTCCACACAAACCCCTCTTCTCCTGACCCTCCTCTCCTGCTTGCCCTGCTCTGCATACCTTTTTTACTTTATTCTTGAACAAGAGCAGC